GACCCACTGAAGCCGCTGCCTTTCGCTTTTCGATGGATAGGGATAATCTACCCCGAAGAACAATGTACAATTCGCCTCGACATTTCTGATCTTTGCGACAGTTCACTGATCGTCCTTGTCGCTCGAGTGGAAAACCTAAAGCCTAGGGATTTTAACAGTGAGATTTAGGTACCTAGATACGAAGTTAATACCCACTCTCTTTTTATCCCTCTTCGTACTTGGATACTCGGAGGCTTTATTCCTGTCTATAAAATTTTTGCATTGATTTAAACAATTTTTCTTTTTTTTTCTTTTTACAGGCGAAGCTCGACAAAAGTCACAATGGCAAACCTTCTCGGGTCATTCACATCCGAAATATTCCGAACGATGTGACGGAGGCGGAAATTATCCATCTTGGACTACCCTTTGGCAGGGTTACCAATGTTCTTGTTCTCAAGGGAAAGAATCAGGTGAGTGCTCGATTTGTTAATCTGACATTTTTCCATGGGATATTTTACTGATGAATGATTACGGTCGGGGGGTGCTATTTACCTGGATTCTATATGCTGTGTATACCATATAGAGTTGTAGTATATAAATTGACTTTATTAGCGGCGCTAACGAGTCGTGTGGAACGGACACGGGTCCGTGAGCGTGCGATACCAGAAATAATTGAATCATCGAATGACGAGAATCGAATCGACCGTCACAATTTTACCGTCATCGTCCCTTGTCGGTTGCGCTCAGAGATTTTCTCAAAAGTGAAATTTTTTTACATCCCATCTATAACGCAGGCGTGCACGAGCACAGTTAGGCAATCCATTGGTATCAGATGGATTTGACAGCTGTCATTTACTTGCATCACGAGTCCGAATATATTGTAATTTTTTTTTTGCTCTCGCTTGAAATAGAAATGGGAATGACAAAGTATCGTATGCGACGTCAGGTCAGATAACGATTATCAAAATTAATTGAACTTACGGTAAGCTAACTGTGGCCCGACGTTTATCAGACAAATAGAAATTCGAGATATTAACTGGGGAACTCAGTACAGAGGGGTTGGTCAGTTCATCCCCTATCGGACGGCACCTTTCAACCCTTTATCAAAGCCAGTGGCTGCGGCCCGCTGCTACGGCAGGTGATTCCAGAGAGCGTATGTCAAGTCGTAGGGGAGTTGCTAATCGGGCAGATAACAGTTATCGGGCTCAAAAGAATAATACCATTAACAACCCTTAATAATGAGTTTGATAAACTCATAATAACTCCATGAAGTTCTACGTGGTAAATATTTAATTTTTAACCCTCCAACCGCCACCCCTCCCCCTTATCCAGGGGGATACCAAGTACGAGAATGAAAGAGAGGGAGAATAAAGGGTGAAGAGTGGGAGTAAGGGCGAACCAGTGGAAAGGGATTAAATAAAGGCGTAGAATATTTGAATAACTAGTAAATCCGCTCAATACGTATTTGATCGTATGTACCAGTCTGATTTTTACGATCTTCTTTCTCTGTCACTCTCGTTGTCCATCCATGACAGACGCAGATATTATGTCTGTCTCTCTTTCGCAAACGTCGCATTTCTTTAATAACATGGATATTATACCTTTATATACGAGAATTTCGCGCTCCTGCATTTTCACCAATGCGTATGGTTACATGTAACAATTGTGCTAAATACGAGGGAAAAGGGATGATTTGCAAATTTTACACGGACTCACACGAGCCCGCACGATAATAACCGATGGGAAACGACCGATCCGTTCGAGCTTTCGTGAGATTAAATGTACGCGGGACAAATGGAAAAGGTTGGAAAAAAAAATGAAAAGCAAATAATCGTATGCATAGGGATTTGAATTTTTAATAAACTCAAAACGAGCGCAGTGCTTGATAATATAAAATTTCTCGAGGTTATAGAAATTTTTGTGATCATTCGACCAGTGGCAGCTGAACTTTTTCCTCAGGCGGAAGAGTAGTAGCCGAACGAGCGGATCTCTCCGGGCTTAACGTGATGCGTGTAGCTCAAATGGGCCGATTTGGCTTTTAGAAAATTAACGCATTTATCCGTAATCGAAATTATGCGTGATGCGAAACGCGTGCGCGTTTATGCTTTCCTATGTATAGATAACAGATACACGTTACGTTGCGTGGCCGAAAATCGGTACCGCTGCCGCGGTAACACGAGCGAATGGTTTGTTTATGCCGAGAGGATTATAATAATGCACCAATAGCTCGATTCGCTTAATTCACACAGCCAAATGAAGAGATTTGCCCTCGCGCAAATTACATACGCATTAGCGAGGTACCTCCTGTAAACGTCCTGTGAATAAACGTAAACCTGGTGTACCTTCATGGAATAATGTGGCTGGTAGATACCACACGTGCGTATCACTATATGCGATATACATCGAATCACAATTCGTACATATTCCACATGAGGGATACGCACCGGATTTCGTTTTGCTTTAGAATTTCATTTTGAAATACTACTTATTAAATACGTAAATGCGACTGTCCGTCGTATTTTACTCTAAAGTTGAAAATTTGAATATTCCGTTGACACGAAACAAATAGTTATTTTGTCAACTACAAAAATCATTTTTTTTTTAATTGTTTACTGTGATAAGCTCTTATCTCGATTATTATTTTTTTTTTTTTACTAGAACGATCATACGTTATCATTAGATCGACTGCGACTGTTTGGAGAAATGTTGTCTTGTTTAGCCTGAATAAATATGGTCGGTAGGCTTTATCAACGTTGCTTTGAGTATATAACGGCGTGGCGTTCGCAGCGCCACGGGAACTAGGGGAACAGAAATTCCTCGAGAAGATCGAATTCTGCCTTCAATTATGCTCGAAAAGTTGTTCGAATGACTGACCGACCCTGGTAGGCACTCCTGATATTTGCTTTGATTACAAGTTCTCGGTAAGCTAGTTATCAGGGTGGAAGAGAACCGTTTGATCCGCCATCTCTAGGCAGTGGATAATATTAATAAACCTAGGTCTATCTCTATAGCGCTGAAAAGTAATTTGGCAAATCGTCATATCTCTTGGCTGTAACAGTTGTAACTGGTGCTTGGAAATACAAAATTTCGATTACGACGTAGATCGTCTGGGCTCTCTCCGTAAATGACTTAACTGGCGAGAGAGTTCACGTTAAGGTGGCTCGAGGGCAAAGTTAGTAAATTATTTAATAAATTGAAGGAAAAAAAAAAGATAAATATATAAAAATAATTTTAAGACACGACGTAATATCGAAGTCCGTCGTTTACTGTATCGTCGCTTCTAAAGTCAGTCTGGAATAACAGGTGTTTAGTGTGATTTTAATTAATTAGTTAATTAATTTAGCGTCTAAATGAAGCTTCGCTCAAAGGGAGATGGGCATGGGACAGAATTGCCAGTCTGACGGTTGGAGAGTTCGCGTCTCGTTGGTTAGTTGAAGGGGTGCTGCGAGTGAATAGGGTCGTCCGGGGCCCGTGACGGTGCT